ATGATAAAAGAGATGATTTTTCATTTCCTATCGTTAATTATCCATTTTTAGATGGTGACGTTCCCTTGTCACCATCTTACGGTGTTTATATATCTCAACTTGTACGATTCGCTCGTGTATGTAACAATGTTTTAGATTTTAACGAGAGAAATTTATGTATTACTGAAAAATTATTACACCAGGGTTTTCGATATCACAAACTAGTCAAAACATTTACTAAATTTTATCATCGGTATAAGGACATCATTCGTAAATATAGCTCAACATGCAGACTTCTTATACGTTCAGGTATTTCACATCCAATTTTTTATGGAAATATTCTTTATAAAGCACAAAAATGTCAGTATTCACCTCTGAAACTAACAAAACCTTTAAATAGACTTATTAAGAAGGGATATAGTTACGATACTGTTGTCAGGTCATTAAAGATTGCATATTTTGGCGTTAATATTGATTCACTTATAGGGTCTTTGCATCGGCACTAAACACATTTATTTAAAAACCAGTTGTTGGCATGACACGGGTTATGTTCTTCTCATATATGTTATGATGGTATGATACTAAATCCCTAACGGGAAGGATTGTGCCTGATATTCATATGATGAAGACATAATCTTTCAATCAGTTTAATTGAAGTCTGGAGCTGGCATGTCAGTTAACTGCTAGTAGTCTGTTGTTATTTATGTATTATTGTCATTTTGTTTATTTTCTTTGGTTTCATCTTCTGACATCAGATTCGTACTTCTCTTGAACTGAATTTTAATGTGCGTATTGTTATGCGTTTACTTTTCTACATTGGCTAGAGGTATAGGGGGAGGGTTGAGATCTCATAAACATGTTTAACCCCGCCGCATTTTTGCGCCTGTCCCAAGTCAGGAGCCTCTAGCCTTTGTTAGTCTTGTATTATTTTTAATTTTAGTTTCTTGTGTACAATTTGGAGTTTAGTATGGCGTTCATTATCACTGAACTAGTATATATATTTGTTAAGGGGCCAGCTGAAGGACGCCTCCTGGTGCGGGAATTTCTCGCTGCATTGAAGACCTGTTGGTGGCCTTCTGCTGTTGTCTGTTCTGTGGTCGGGTTGTTGTCTCTTTGACACATTCCCCATTTCCATTCTCAATTTTATGTTCCTTGATCTATATTGGAAAATGGCACTTTATGTCGTTTCAGTGCAATTTCTTATAAACCACTTAACCAATGCTTCAAAATTTTGATATGCTGTTACTGATGACATAATAGTGGTAAAGTTAGATATCAATGATTTTTATTTATGCCGTTTTGGAAAATATATGGTTCTTGATAGATTGAAAAATGGCACTTTATGTTGTTTTCATGCAATTACTTATGAACCGTTCAACAAATGCTCTTCAAAAATTTAAATATGCTGTTACTGATGACATAATGGTGGTAAAGTTTGATATTGGCAATTTTCATATTTGCCGTTCAGGAGTTATGGTCCTTGATAGATCGGAAAATGACAAGTAACTAGAGGCTCTCAAGAGCCTGTGTCGCTCACCTGTATTTACTGATGCTTTGGAAATCATGTAAAATAAGTTTAAAATCATAATCAATAGTATTAGATATTAGATATTATAATGATATCTAAGATAATAACAAAAAACTGATTAATTTCTGTAAAATTAATAACTTAGGGGCAGCAACCCAACAAAGGGTTGTCGGATTCGTCTGAAAATTTCAGGGCAGATAAATCTAAATCTGATGAACATTTTTGCCACCTGTCAGATTTGCTATAAATGCTTTAGTTTCAGAGATATAAACCAAAAACTGCATTTTACCCCTATGTTCTATTTTTAACCAAGTCGGCCATGATGGTTGGAAGGCGGGGTCATCGGACAAATTTTGTAAACTAAATACCCTTATAATGATTATGGCCAAGTATGGTTAAATTTGTCTCAGTAGTTTCAGAGAAGAAGATTTTTGTAAAAGATTACAAAAATTTACAAAAAATTGTTAAAAATTCACTATTAAGGGCAATAACTCCTAAAGGGGTCGACTGACAATTTTGGTCATGCAACTTATTTGTAGATCTTACTTTGCTGAACATTATTGCTGTTTACAGTTTATCTCTATCTATAATAATATTCAAGATAATAACCAAAAAACTGCAAAATTTCCTTAAAATTACCAATTAAGGGGCAGCAACCCAACAACAGGTTGTCAGATTTGTCTGAAAATTTCAGGGCAGATAGATCTTGACCTGATAATCAGTTTTACCCATGTTAGTTTACTCTAAATGCTTTGGTTTCAGAGATATAAGCCAAAATCTACATTTTACCCCTATGTTCTATTTTTAGCCATGGTGGCCATCTTGGTTGATTGGCGGGGTTATCGGACACATTTTTTAAACTAGATACCCTAATGATGATTGTGGCCAAGTTTGGTTAAATTTGGCCCAGTGGTTTCAGAGGAGAAGATTTTTGTAAAAAGCTAACGATGACGGACGACGACAACGACGACGGAAGCTAAGTGATGAGAAAAGCTCACTTGGCCCTTCGGGCCAGATGAGCTAAAAACACCTAACTTCCCATAGCTAATAGGAGTTATGATCCTTGATAGGAACCTGATGTTCAGTGGTTGTCGTTTGTTGATGTGGTTCATAAGTGTTTCTCGTTTTTTATATAATAGATTAGACCGTTGGCTTTCCTGTTTGAATGGTTTTACACTAGTCATTTTTTGGGCCCTTTATAGCTTGCTGTTTGGTGTGAGCCAAGGCTCTGTGTTGAAGGCTGTACTTTGACCTATAATGGTTTACTTTTACAAATTGTGACCTGGATGGAGAGTTGTCTCATTGGCACTCATACCACATCTTCTTCTATCTATAGAATGTGGCAGGTCAAAAAAGCCTGAAAGTGCCTTTCAAAATACAGAAAACCCAGTTTGGTGTCAATTTGACAGGTCATTCCTTGTTTCTAGTATGTTTTGGATTAGAAAAGTATGTGCACATCCAAGAAATAACTTAATCTATATCAACGTGATTATGTAAATATGTAAATAGTTATACATGTTATCAGAAGTCCATTACTAGACGAAGTGTGCAACCCGCTATATAGTAAGGCGATCACGTTGTCCCCGTACTTCCAACTGTGATTGAAACGGGATTTGAGCGAGATTGCTATATATAGTAACAAAAATCAATGGCCAAATTTTTTGTGATGCATTCTGGGTAGAGATAATTTATTCAAAACACCCTATACATTAATTAGCACACAGTTGAATATAATGTTTGACCATCGACGTGTTAATGAATAGCAGATCCTAGATGCGATATTATATCAGTGTCATGCTTCATTATGATGGTTTAAATATTAAACGATAAAAATGTTTGTATAATTTATCAATTTAAAAACTACAAAAGCAGTTCTCAACACGTGCGTTCAACATATAAATTTTATAGGTTTAAATTGTAGGAAAAGTTTGCGATCACGATCTTTGTAAGCAGGGTAATAAATATATATTCTTTATGTAAGTATACTTTATACTGAAATAAGACGAAGTCCTATTTCAAAAACCTTGCTGTAGGACAATTTGATTTAATTTGTTCAAATACTAAATCAATCTCAAGGGTTAAGTTGTGCCGTGAAGAAATAAAGTCAGTAATTCCTGGAATTGTCCGGTTGCAACAGTAAAACCCTTTCTTACAAGTGTGGGATGTATACATTAATAGCAGCTGCGTCAGGTCGGAGGAGGGACTTCAGATCTAGCCTGACATCCTGACCCAGTCTAATACTTCGTCGAGCAGTTAGCCAGGATCCCAGGCTACTTCCAAGTGAAATCCAGTACCTCGCGTATTCAGGATGAATGTTAATTACAATCTCTGATGTTAAATTACACTTGAGACAACTCTGTGATGGGATATGCATATTTATATTTCCCACTGAACGTTACGCTAGCAACAGGCGATAAATCATTATTTTAATCCACTTCATCTACAGATGCCTTCAGTTTTGTGAGTGATCTTGTGATTAATCTAGCGAACGTAATGATGAGAATTAGATAATGAGATCGTATTATGAGAAAAGTATGTCTCTTAATTTAAAAAAGGTAAAAAAAACAAGAGATTTTTGAAATTCGAAATTGTTTCGAAGTCATCTGAAGCAACAAATGGTCGGATACTATTGTTTTTCTGTAGAAGTGAAGAAAAAACCCCTGTCTTTTGCTTATCCATCACCGTATATAGCTTCCTTGGTGCCGTAAATGACCGAGACATAATTCGTCAACACAACGCGGTTCTATTTAAAAAAGGAGACAGTTATGACTTTATTTTTTAGATAGATGATACATTTTAAGTCCGACACGGCCGATTTTATAGTTCTCATTTGCCTTTGCGAGATGAAAAATGGTACCAATGAATTTGTTTATAAAATTTTATATCATTTTCTAAATATTGAATTAAAATGAAGAAACTAACTGGCAATAAGAAACCACCGCACTAAGTCGGCTGACTTAATTTACACCAAACTGATAATTAATCAAACGCTCAAGGAGACTAATTAACAGCTATCTGTTCGATGATAATATTTTTACCCATGATTCCATGGTTATAAAACGAGACTTTGGGGGACCACCAATGGCGCTTTCCACTGATAAAGGGGAGATCGTGATCTCCTTACTATATAGCACAGGTTGCACACTTGGTCTAGTAATGGACTTCTGATGTTATGTATGCAAAAGCTACTCTTACCCTAATTTATAACAGAGACATACATGTATATCTATACACATATGTATGTCTCTGATTATAACATGCAGGGAATTAAATAAATCTAGCATTCCTAAATTGGAATTTGAGTATAATTGTGTTAAGCCACATATTTTAAAATGGTTATTCCTGCCCCTGTTGAGTGTTGTGACTTTGAACTTAAATGTGTCAGTGTGTGTGTTGTCTTTTTATGTGTTTTTTTTGGGGGGAGGGGGTCTTTTAGTTCATTTGTCAAATAACGTTACGATTTTATAATGGCCATGTCTAGGACATAACTTACGTCCCAATTCAGGTGTAGTACATACATTTTTGTTGCTGAGATGCAACTGATGCTGGTTCCATAATGGGATGGGTATGTCTAAATATTAATCAAGTTCGAACTTTATTTCCGGACATTCGTTTTCGTAAACTTGTGGGTCAAGTTGTACATAGAAAACATATATATAAGGTCTTAGTTCCTACATTCTGAACGATGCATTTGTTATGAGCATGGTTGACGTAAAAAATGACAAGGCCCGGGTTTTCTTGCGTGTCCGTCCCTTACGGATAAAAAAATGGCAGAAGGATGCTGTAGATGTCGACGTCCTGCTTGTGGTCTTAAAGTTAGACTTGTGTACAGCTTTACTGGATTTCTCATAGGATTTTCGGTTTTTGTTGTTTTCGGATTAAAATACAAAAATTGGAATGCTGCTTTGTGGGGTCTTATATCAGGTAAATATATATAACGCAAGAAGAAACAGTCAAAAACCAAGGAGTTGTATAAATCCTTGTTCTAATTATTGACCTTTCCCAAACATGACTTTTATAGCATGTTACTATACTCTGGCGAGATAAATTGTTTTGAAAGAGAATTGTAATAATGATCCAGTCATGTTCATAATTTACATTAGATGCGGATCCAGGATTTTGAAAAAGGGGGGTTGGGCCCCAAACTAGGCAACCTCCATGTTCTCAGTGGAACAGGTAAAAAGCAGAGACATATTATCAGATTATACATATAACATGTCTCTGTAGAAAACTAAGAAAAGTCTTCTTTTTTCAGTATCTAATGATCCTTCTTTAATTAAAGATATTTTGCAATCAAGAAGAGGAGGTGCCTCCCCCTAATTGAAACACCACAACTTTTACCATTGCCAACTCGTACTTTTACTATTCACTAATTAGATAAATCGTAAATTTAATGGTAATTTTGTATTTTTTTTTATAATTGATCTTGTTCGAGACATATTTAGTTTGCATACATGTATGATTAATGAAGACACACATCACTTCATCTTGAGCTAGAATGAGCTTGAAATCTGAGGTCCAAATTAAAGTGTTTCTTGATTGAATGATTTTTTTCATCGGGTGTGTTTTGAAGAAGTTTTCATTAAATAATCTCTGAAGTCTTCACCATCTTTTTGATACACACGAATTAAACAAAACCAAATGTAATGTAAATATATACATATAATATATATTAGATACTTTCCTGATCATAGGCAGATCCAGGGGGGGCCCCCCCTTTCGTGGAAAAAATTTGTTTGATTATATAGGGAATCACTGAAGCATGACTGGAGCGGGCGCCCCCCCCCCTTAGGTCAGTCAGCGGGCCCTCCCTTATGAAAAGTTCTGGATCCGCCACTGATGATAATAATAACAAAACTTTCAATGCATTTTCTTAATTTAAAATGTCAAACTTTAAAACAATATTTTTTTTCTTTTCAGTGAAAATAGAGATTGTCAGAGTAGACACCTTAGTTAATGAACAGACTCTGATATTCAAAGTGCTGCATTTTTTCCGAAATTTATGTTCAATAAACTCAAATTATTATAAACTCAATTAACCCCTAATTTAATCAGTTTTAGGTCCACAGTATAATGACACCTAATTGATAGTATATTTTATAATTATAATTTCAAATCAAAATTTAGATTTTCTGGTTGTTTTTTTTAATTTATTTTTATATCATTCAAAATAACTACTATGAATACAACTGAAACTTGGGTACAAGTTGGTAAAAGTATGAGTTAGTAAAAGTCGGGTACCGGTATTAGTTGGTTGAGTACGAGTTGGCAAAGGGAAGAGTGGACATGGATCACCCAAGATTAGCTACTGTCTTGACTGTAGTGACTTTTAACAGGGTTCATAGATTTATCCAAAACACAAAAAAAGAATGTGAAAAATTTTGTTTACATGCTGCATACTACAGAAACTACAATAACTTAATAAACCGTGCAAGTCAGGAGCCTGTAATTCAGTGCATGGTTGTCTGTTGCTGTATCATATTGTTTTTTTGTTCATTGTTTTGTACTTAAATAGGTCGTTATTTTTCTCGTTTGAATTGTTTTACATTTGTCAATTCAGGGCCTTTTATATCTTACTACGCAGTATGGGTTTTGTTCATTGTCGAAGGCCGCACAGTGACCTATATATATAGTTGATAACTTCTATGTCATATGGTCTCTGGTGGAGAGTTGTCTCATTGGCAATCATACCAAATCTTCTTATTTTTATATTTATAAGAACTGTTACTCTGTATTCATTATACACTTGTACATGTATTCTGATTGTTTACTCCATTGTTTAGACTTATCATTTATACAAAACACTGACTACCATTGTGTTGAAAATGTATTAATAACCAAAAATTAATGTTACATTTGAGACTAATTGTGTGAATGCAAGGTTGTGTTATGAACATGATGAACTGATTTTTTACAGACATAACAATAATATTTGAGTCTATGGTTACATTGCGTTATTGTTATGTCAATGCGTTTCGATGAATGCTGGGAATAGTAGCATATTGAAATAGAAGCTGAAAACCCTTATATTCTACATTAATTTAATAATACAATATTGCATGCATTGTATAGTTGATTTAGAATGGCAACTTCTGGAAATTCAGTAAATGTGCTTTTGGGTGCATGCATGTTTAAGGCTGATGCATGTTTGGGTGGAACCGCTCAAAGCAGCCATCACAAATATCAAACCATTGAACTATATTATATTCGCCTTTGGCATTACTACATTATAGTATTATCTTGAAGAACATTTAAACAATTAATTCTTATGATAATTGTAATATTGTTACGATTTTCAACACCAGCACCTTCATACATGTACAATTCAATTTAATATTCAAAGTTTTATTTAAAGTCGATATTTAGTGAAGGGCATGTTCTAGTGAGCTTACAATTATGAATAATTATTAACATGTACTTATTTATTTACCCTAGGACATATTATTATGTTTTCAATACCCAGGATTGTATAATATTTTTAAAGCTTATATTCTATAGTTAGAATATTTTTCACACTTCAGTAAAAAGTGGTTTTCATCTTCGACCTCACCCGATTTACAAACATTGCAAACTCATTCATTGGTGGGTATGCCTAAATTTCGCTCTTGGCAAGATTGTGTGCACTCAATCTTAGTTTATACAGAGATGACCTTTCTGATTTGTTCCTTAGAACATCAGCATAAGAACTACGCTGATTTGAATTATAGAATTTTTGATAAGATTTTAATTAGGATGAACCGTAAATTTTTGAAGATTGATCCTGCGTGCACTGATCAATCACTTGTTGTTTAAAACTTGATAGTGTTTAATAGAATATTTTCTCTTAGCTAGGCTTGAAAATCCTAGATTGTTTAAATGGAATAAAGTTTCTTTGTTTAGGGGTTATTTTTTTCAGTTGTCAGAAAAATTTGGATACAAGGTCACACAGTTTTAATGATCAAAAAATTTAATACAAGAAAAGGAGATTTTTTACCACAATGGTAGCCTGCCAAGTTCAGCCCTACATGCATCATTTAGTGCTTTGCAATGAACACCTAAAATTTCTTTTATGAACTTCATACGAAATTTTTCCAAAATGGAAATGTCTCCTCTGAATTATCAAAAAAACTAAAAAAATGGGTTTGAACAGACGTCCAAACGATCTAATTAAAAATTCTTTAATTGCACACATGCTTAACTTCACATCCGTATAATTTGAATAAATGATGTCTGGTTTAAGTTCTTCACATTTTTGAACAATTTTACAATAATCCATGCTTTTTATGCATTTTGTATGAAATGGATGTCTGTGACATATATTTAAAAAAAAAAAAAATTTTATTTAGACTTTTTTAGACGTTGCATGAAACGTTTCCATGAATTTTACTTTTTTCATTGGAGACTTCATCTGTTGATTTATAATGTGACTGTTTGTGTATATTTAAGAATATATACTAGTTAACAAAAGTAACGATACACAAGTTTGAACTCAAATTTATCAAAAAATATAATAAATAGGAAAAACTGCTTAATTATCAAATGAAAAACATTCATTTGCCAAGCAAATGCATATGATTAAAAGAATCTGACCAAATTGAAAAGTGAGAAAATACCGTGTTATTGAACTAATGGGTCAAATTTATTTTGCGGAAAATGATGACAAAAGTCGGCACTTACTTTCGAAGATGAGAATTAAGTATTCAAATATCTGCAAAGGCATTCAAAATTTAAGTAGACCATGTTTAAGTTTAAAGTTTTAAGTTCTAATATCGATTTTTGAATTTTTTAGGTGAAAATAATAATAATAAAAATTTCCAAAAAAAAATTCGCGTTTTTGCCTAAAATCAATGGTGTTGATAAGAAAATAACACTCTGTAAATATTAGACCAATTGGGCAATTACTTACCTTGGTACAGTGTATCCAATTTTATTATATATGGAAAATACATTGCCTTGTATCGTTTCTTTTGTTGACTAGTATATAGCTATGGTATACATGCATACTTGCAAATTATAAAAATACAAATTGTTTCGTCTCTAAGAAATCCTGTAAGATTTCATCTGCTTTTTTTGCAAAATGGATGCAAATTGGGTACTCGGTGCAATTAGACTTTAACTTTATGCACACAAATCATGTAGAAAGGCATCATTATTAACAATTAAATGTTTTCAAAAGAATATTGGTGGTAATTTATCATAACTAAACAATTTAACTATTTATCACACCTTAATTTATCATGTTGATACTTCATTTGTACTTTTAAATTTAAATTTTTGTCCACTTTTATGGCACTTTTATAGGTTGCACTTCTGTAAATATAGACATGATAGACAATGGAATTTCCCATAGGAATTCTTTTTACGACTAAAACTGTGCCACTTTTACTATGAACTTTTGTAAAAAAATTATATCCTCAGAATGGGAAGGTCATTTATGCACTTCTATTTTTTTCACCGGTCAAATCATATGCTACATATTTTCAACATTTATATGCCTCCAACTTTTTAAAAGTTTAAACTAATACATGTATTTAAATTCTGTACTACCCCTCCCTTCACTCTGGGTCTTTTTCAGAATTCGATTTGGCTGCTATCCTTGTGTATTTATTCCGGTAAATGTACCAAGTTGTGTTTCTATGAGCTTAATGAGATGAAACATAGAGATCATATCTGGGAACCAGTAGTTAACAAATCAAAATATCTTTAATTTTAGAAAAACAAAGGATATGGGGTATCTATCCATGACACAAAATCAGTACATGCACAGCAAAAAACACACAATAAGCAAAGGAACAGCGCTTTTATTGCTTTTCTTCATCTCAAAGTCACAGTGAGGCCTTCAACATGGAACAAAAAAACTCTCACCTCAATGCAAGTTTAAGACGGTCCCTAAGCACCGGCTTGAGCAGAATTCTTTGCAAAAATAATAAGTTTGGATAGACTTTGTAAGATGTAACACCACCTAATCGGGGCCTGGTCAAAAAAGAACATTAAATAATAAAAAATGAATATTAAATATCTCCCCAAAAGAGGCTTGGTTTGGGAAACAGCTGTATTTACAAAGTGCAACCTATAGTGAAATGTAAATAGAATAACAAAAAATCTAGGAGAGGGCTCTGAGATTTATATACAAAGGTCATCCTTCAGACTATGATACATTGCTTTGTGTAGGTTGCATAAAAAGATGGTGTTGGAGGCTTTTAAAATCATAAAAGGCTTAGCTCCTCCCAAGTCTGAAGAATTTTGTTACTATAAAATCAAACTAAAAGTATAATTACATTGTAGAAATGTTAATTTAGGCATAATTGAATAATGCCTTGTCTTTGCCTGTGTTTTAGCTTACATGCTTAAAAAATAGGGTAGGTATATGTAGTCAAATATTTTTGTTTTTTAAAGTGTTTGACTGGTCTACACAGAGGAAAGAGCCATACTTAATAGTACTTGTTCAAAAATGACAAAAAGATGATCATTAAAGTGTTTAAAAATTAAAGAAACACAAGCATTTTTTTATTAGGCTTTTCTGAAAATTCCATCAATGAGCAAAACTACATTTGGAGATCTTTTCAATATGCTGCACCTTTATTATGGATATGGAACTCACTGTCCAAAAACTTCAGAAAGAAAGCAAATTATAATCATTATAACTAATTTAGAAATATGATCTTAGATAAAATTGAAATGCCTGCAAATGTGCCTGCTGTAAATGAAAAATGTATGTTATTTGTATAAAGCTTTATATTTCAGTGGGTAGAAGACCTGTATGTTTCATGACCTCATTTTCATGGTTAAGCCACTGCTTGCCAAAAAAATAAGTATTTTAATTTTGTCATGTAAATTTCTCACATATTATGAGTAATTTAATAACTATATTTGGTATATGTGTATCCAATAGGGGCACAGTTGGTACTCTTGTCTTGGCTCCCTAAATGTTACGGGGTCATGATTTTATTTGTAAAATCATTAGAAAAACAATTAAACTATGACGGTCACTAATCTCAGGAACTAGTTGTTGCAGTTCACAAAGATCCAACACATTCAAGTTATATAATTTAATTCCAAGCCAAAGTACTAATATAAACTATACAAAGGACAATGTCAGCATAACACTATGACTCCTACTGTATCTACCGAATGTTCTTACTCAAAGTATTCTTACTTCTGATCGTACTGATTTTACAAAGTTTACAATAAGTATTTATACTAAATATCGGAAATAGACAATACCCAATTAACATGACAATACTCAAATTAAAATGACATTTCATAACTTTAAGCTATAAGTGACAGCAATCACATTAATTAATATAAAAGATAATTATAATTTATAATACTCATATAATCTTATTCTTTCATTTTCCTATACAATAATTTTCACACCTTTAGTATGAATTAATGTCTTTCATATTAATTTCTGTTACTCAATAAATAAATCTGTCACAAACATTTGAAAATCATATGTCACTAATTAAGATTAACACATTATTTGTCTATACATGTAAATATTTAAATTTGTAAATAATATCTTTTCCAAAAGTCCAATTTCTAAATAAAATGATAAAATTAAAATTAAGTCCAAAACAAGCCTGGTGACATATGGGTTCCTTGCAAGGTCTACATGTCCATCAGACTGGGTTCCCCTGACCTTGACCTCATTTCATAGATCGATGATCAAGGTTAAGTTTTCAGGTCAAGTCCATATCTCAGATACTGTAACTATATTTGGTATATGAAATGATTGTATTTCTGTTCATATCACACTGGCAGGTTTTATCTGACCTTGACCTCATTTTAATGGTACAAATGCTGGACAATATTTTGCTTTAGTGGTTTGGTCTTTTTCTCAGATATTATACATGTTTGTAAAAGGGTCACTATATTTTGTGTATGGAATGATTGAAGGCGTACATGTCTGTCTGGCAGGTTTCATATGACCTTGACCTAATTTTCATGATTCATTAGTTAATGGCAAGTTTTCATGATTCATCAGTCAATGGCAAGTTTTCATGGGTTCTGTTTCTCAGATACTATAAGCAATAGGCTGACTTTATTTGGTATTTAATATGATTGTAAGGTGTAAGGTGTACATGTCTCTTTGGCAGGGTTCATCTGACCGTGACCTCATTTACATTGATGATGTTAAGTTTAAATTATACTTGTGCAATGTTGTAGTGAAATCTTCATATTACAGACTTTCAATATAAATTCAATAATGATAAGTCATGTAAGTTAAGTAGGCGAGACATGTCAACATGTGCACTCTTGATCAAATTTATTATCCCTATTTTGAGTTTTTAATCAACATGATCAAATGTTTTTCAAATATAGAAATTCTACAAACGTTTCAAGCAAACTGAATCATCTGTGTTTTGTCTGTGCATCTGTCATTATTTATTTCTTCTCTAGGATTAAAATCCCATGGAGCTCAATTACTAAACTTGGCTTGTATATCCACCACTACAAGAAGATGTGTGATTAAAAAAAATAAGAAAACAGTACATTGAAAATCTTAGTCAAATACTTCTTTTAACTTAGCCACATATGTCATTTCCTGTGCATATGCACAAAAAAATGTTTCTGCTCTTTAACTTTAAAAGTGGTGAAACTTGGCACGGCTTTTCACTGGTACTTTTAATTAAGGTCAAGGAACTGTAGATTGGCTAAGTCACATGTACAGATTTTGGTAAATATATATAAAAATAAGAAGATGTGGTATGATTGCCAATGAGACAACTCTCCACAAGAGACCAAATGACATTGAAATTAACAACTAAAAATCACTATTCAGTCTTCAACAATGAGCAAAACCCATACTGCATAGTCAGCTATAAAAAGCCCAGAAATGACATATGTAAAACAATTCAAACGAGAAAACTAAAGGCCTGAGTTAAGTACAAAATAATGAACGAAAAACAAATATGAAAGAAAGAAAACTGTTCATTGAAATCATGGTCCAAACTGTACAGAAAGTTTTTCGCTCTCCAATATTAGAAAACCCTTGGAGTGTAGGGAATGAAACATGAGAATTATTATTTGCCACTAGTAGAAATATGGTAGAGAAGTGAAAAGTGCTCAAGTAAAATTTCTGTGGTCTTTAAGTATAAGCTATTTTCTTTAAATAAAAAACCTTGATGACCTCAAAAAGTGCATCGACTTTTAACGTATTTACATGAAGCAAGGCCCTCTGTGATGGTTCCCAATAAGATCTTCTCGTTTCTCTAACAAGAAATTGTTTCATTTGTCAAAGATTGCTCATTTTTCTTTTTCAAATATATATACAAAATAACAACTTGAAAAGCTACATCATGTTAATTCAGATATGTATTAAAGGTGAAAAAATAGGGATAAAAAGATTTATAATAGAGTTAGACCATGGCTTTCTCTTATATAATTGCTTCAACTTGGAGAGTTTCTGATATACTATAACCCTTGCTGCCCATCAGAGCCTTTATACGAATCTATGTGGGAGCCTGTTGCACCCATCATCCCCATACTTTTATTCAAAGTTTGGTAGCAATGAGCCTTTTACGAGAATTTTTATTAAAAAATATTGAGGTTTTGCCTACTTTCCGTATTTTGTATGAATGCTTGTGAACATGTCTAATTGCAGATGGTGTCATGAGCATCAAAAGGGTATCGATCAGTTACAAACATGTTAGTAATAAATGAGACTTTTTTCCTTGCAATTTTCTATTTTAGCATGTTAAGTGATGATCTTCATGGTTGATTCTTTCATTGAATATAACTCTGAAGTCAGTCTCATGAGTATAATATAGTCTAAGCTTATGTTGAGGATGGATGACATAATGACAGAGCTGCTGATCATGATAAACCCACAATAATGGCAATAACTCACACTAACCCTTGGCCCCTGGTATGCTAAAAAGTTATGTTTTTTTTTTACTGTCATTTAGTTCCAATAAAAGTCTGTGGCCTTTTAATTTTGACAAATATCTTCATCATGATCATTCCAGAGTTATTAGACTTTTAAATCCTCAAAACTAGGAAGTTTTCGTGTGTCTGACAATCATTCTAGTGTGTACATGTACATTGAATCATGAAAGATTTAATCACTGTTTTGTTCATTCAAAAAAATGTACTAAATCCACATTCAGTATCCATTATTTCACTGATTTGTGGTAAATCATGCACTCATGGCACAGCAGTTTCTTGTATTATTCATCTATGTTTTTAAAGCTATTTTTTTCTTTGTTTCAGGTTTGGCTGCATTAGGAACATTTTTTCTCCATTTATGGTATGTTAAGAAGAAAAGTCAGAACCGCATGCCAAATCTAAAGTTATTGATGTTGACTGGTTGTTTAATACAGTTAGCTGGAGTAGTAGGATTTGCTGTTTATTTGGCACTGGCTGTTACACAAAGTCAAGGTAATCTTTTGCCTTTATCATGTTTTGTCTCGCGTTGAGGGAGTCAAAAAGTGAGACTTAGGTATGCTGTTTCCAGCGGTTGTGTCAACAATTTCTGATTAGGTCAGTTTATGGGGAACCACTAACAGTAAATCTATGATATTTGGTATTCAGTTGTATAAGCATTCAATTTGCCACATCTCATTTCCATGAAGATTAGTTGGCCCACGCCTCTTCAGCCATGGTTTATAGACTTTGAAACTTTTGCATATTTTACACGCTAAAGTTTGTGGTTAGGTTGGTTTTCGGGGGAACTACTTATGATAAGTCAATGATATTTGGTATACATGCAGTTGTTTTAGCTTTTACATATCTTATATCTCAGAAATAATTTTGGTCTGTTCCTTTGGTCAAGGTTCATTTAATTTGAGTATTGCATAACTAACATGTGAAAGTTTTGCTATTTTAATTTTCAACATTTGCATTTTACTATCAAAATAAACTGAGGAGACATATCTCTGTGTGAAAAGTTTATTCAATTTTTCTGATTGATTGATGTTGCTTTAGGCTCATATCCCCTGTCAAGGTTATTAATCAATAAAAAGCGGAGATAAAATTAACTCCATTGTTTTTAATGTTAATATATGCTAGTATTTTAACCAAACATTTTTTTTTTTTTTTCAGTAGTCAGGCTTTGTTTATAAAAAAACAGACAAAATGTCCTTTATCATGTTTATGCTCCGTGTTGAAGGCCGTACCTTGACCTATAATGGTTTACTTTTATAAATTGTTACTTGGATGGAGAGTTGTCTCATTGGCACTCATACCACATCTTCCTATATCTATAATGATATTAAAACAAGCGTTTAATTTGAAATGACTTATGATAAAAGAAGATTTAATGCTAAGACGAATCGATAAAAAATGAAATAATTTATATTAGTATCACAATTAGATTTTGGAATATATCCAATATTTAAAACTGAACTAATTCTATGGATTTGGAGTACTCAAATATAAATCAAACATATTGTTTCATATAGAAATAAGAAGATGTGGTATAATTGTCAATGAGACAACTCTCCACCAGAGACCAAATGACATAGAATACATATACAAAGTCAGCAAACGTTAGTTTTCTCGTTTGAATTGTTTTACATTTGTCATTTAGGGGCCTTTTATAGCTGACTATTCAGTATGAGTTTTCTCATTGTTGAAGGCCATACGGTGACCTATAGTTGTTAATTTCTGTGTCATTTGGTCTCTTGTGGAGAGTTGTCTCGTTGGCAATTATACCACATCTTCTTTTTTTTATATATACAAAGTCAATGCTATAGCTGTACTACCGCCAAATCATAGTACGAAAGAAAAAAAAATCCATTGAATTTGACAGTTGTAGGAAATTAACCCTGCATTTCATTGCAGAAAAAAATTTCTGAGTCAAAAACATTTACCTTTGGTGATTCAAAGCACCATTCTTTTTTTATTTGGTGTTTCTTTAAAATATTCTGGAAACTTGAGATGACATGGTTACTAAAGCTTGTAAACAGGTAAAAAAAGAGGTGCCAATTTTATTAGTTAACTTCCAGTGATGGTTTTTTATTTTATATGCAATGAAATATTATGTGAAATTTTGACTATTGTACTAGACAGGATAAAACATTACTCATGCTTAGTATTTCTTTATTTGAAACAAAGATGAATTCTGAACATTTTTTTGAAATTATGCCAATTTAACAAGACTAATAGGGAAAAAACAATGTGGTATTACTCCTATAATTATTTTAAATGACCATTTCAGTATTAGCCCTGGTATATATTAGAGGTTAGTTGTGTTAGACCAGAGACTTGAAGAGTTGAGTGAAAATACAGCTGATGGAAAATCTACAAATATATACCAGGGCCAATACAGAAACAGCTAGTTATATATATAAATAAACAAACAAGGAAAACAATAACATGAAGCTTATATTTATATGGTCACACTAAACAAGTTGATTCAGTGAGTCGAGTTGACTGCAAAAGGTCCTATTCATGCATGGGTTAAAAATTTAAAGGTCATGAAAAAGGATCAATCAAAAGTATTCATGTGTTTAGTCATTTTTATATGACCGCAAACAAATTTTGCGGTCGTATATTAGTATCACATCGTCGTCGTCATCCGAAGACACTTGGTTTCTGGACAATAACTTTAGTAGTAGTAAATAGAAATCTATGAAATTTAAACACAAGGTTTATAACCACAAAAGGAAGGTTGGGATTGATTTTGGGGATTACGGTCCTAACAGTTAAGGAATTAGGGGCAAAAAAAGAGGCCCAAATAAGCATTTTTCTAGTTTTCAGACAATAACTTGTGGAATGGTGTATGGATCTCTCTGAAATTGTACAAGTTACCATTCCGCAAAGGGATGGTTAGAATTGGCTTTGGGAGGTAATGGCTCAAACCGTTTAGGAATTAGGGGCAAAAAAGGGGGAAAAACAAGGGTTTCCTTGTTAATGGACAATCACTTTTAAGTACAATGTTCAATTTGGATTACCTCCCTTACACTGCTTTAAAATTATGTATAAAGAAATTTTGTATTGTCTTGAGGTGATAAGCTGTCAATTTATTTTTAGAAGTTACCGGTACTAATAAAAATGCTGATTAAAGATATATTATTTTTAGACATGATTATGTATGTCATTTTCTATTTTAATTAAGACTTTTATGATGTATTTAAATGGGTAATTATGGTTGCAAACTCCATTGGAAATTTGAATTGAGATAATGACCATATCTTGAGGGAAAGATTTTTTTTTTGGAAAAAGGGGAGGGGGGGGGGGGGAGGTGAAAAAAAATTATGGGTTAAAAAGAAATTGTGGGGGGGGGAACAATTTTTTTTTCTCATTACAGATTTCAGAAATTAAAAAGAAAATTTCTTCAAATATTTTTTTTTTGTAAAAAAAACGGGTGGGGTGAAAAAAAAATTTTGCCAAAAAAAAAAGGGGGGGTGAAATTTTTTTTTTTGGGGGGGGGGGGTCAATTCGCAACAGCATAGTGTATTGCACAAAAGCAAAAAATTGAATATAAATTCAAATCATATAACCAATTCTAAGTTCTTTGACTTCAGTTATTCTGTGTCAGAAACCTATTATGTGTCAAACATTTAATTTCAATCCAAATTCAGACCTGTATCAAGCACGAATATTGTGTCCATTTTTCCCCAACTGTTCAGGGTTGGACCTCTGCGGTCGTATCCAGCTGCGCTCGGTGAAGCAATTTATTATAAGTTATACTTAAATGACTGTCTTTGAAACATTATATATCAAGATATCTGTTACATTTGTGTTAGTACTTTGAATTGTCTATTATTCTCTCAGGATATACTAGTGTAAGCATGCTTTCCTAAATATTAAAATTATAATGATTTGATCAAAGCCAATGACTGTTATGATGTTCTAGATTTTATCTTTTGCTTGTTATTGCTACTCTTTTGAAGCTGTAATATCGATAAAGATAGCATAAAGGAAAGTGTTTGGAACAAGAAGACCAAGATTTTGAAATCTGGTTTGAATAAATCTGATGCTTTCTTATAGGTCTTGGAGTACCCCTGAAATATTTAAAATAACAATTAATTAATTATACCGAACAGTTGAAAATCTTTTCTTTTCACAATAGAATGTTCATTAGGTTGATGAGAAGCCAAATCTGGTTCCGTCTAGCATCAAATTATATATGTTTTACCCCGATTCCAAAAATGTAAAGTTTCTATTTACATTTTTTGTACTTTTGCCTGACATAAGGGTGACAATTTACCACTTCTGGTTTGGTAAATGTCATTACCAGTTTCATATGTAAGCTTTCTTCACACTGATTCCAAAACTATTGGTTTTTCTGATCTTTTCTTTAAATCAAGGGAGATAATTTGCTTCTTCTGGTTTACAAAATATCACTTCCAGTCTCATATGATAGGTTACTGTATACAGATTTCTAAAATATTTGGTTTCTCTGTACTAAAATATTTCTAAATATATGTGAAATATGCGCAAGAACAGCTATTTCTGGTGACAATAAAAAATGATTATTGTTACTTTCCAGACTAATTGCTGAATTGTATTTCCGGACAGAGACCCAATTTCATATGGAGATAATAATTTTTGTCGAGCCTGCGACTTTTGTCGCAGAAAGCTCGACATAGGGATAGTGATCCCGCAAGGCGGCGGCGGTGGCGTTAGCTTACTTCTTAAAAGCTTTATATTTTAGAAGGTGGAAGATCTGGATGCTTCATACTTTGTATATATATGCCTCATGTTAAGAAGTTTCCGTCAGTCACATGTCCAATGTCCTTGACCTCATTTTCATGGTTCAGTGACTACTTGAAAAAAAAATTAAGATTTTTTGTAATGTTAAATTCTCTCTTATTATAAGTAATAGGATAACTATATTTGGTATGTATGTACCTTGCAAGGTCCTCATGCCCGTCAGACAGTTTTCACTTGACCTCGACCTCATTTCATGGATCAGTGAACAAGGTTAAGTTTTGGTGGTCAAGTCCATATCTCAGATACTATAAGCAATAGGTCTAGTATATTCGGTGTATGGAAGGATTGTAAGATGTACATATCCAACTGGCAGGTGTCATCTGACCTTGACCTCATTTTCATGGTTCAGTGGTTATAGTTAAGATTTTGTGTTTTGGTCTGTTTTTCTTATACTGTATGCAATAGGTCTACTATATTTGGTGTATGGAATGATTGTAAGGTGTACATGTCTAGCTGGCAGGTGTCATCTGACCTTGACCTCATTTTCATGGTTCAGTGGTCAAAGTTAAGTTTTTGAGTTTTGGTCTTTTTTTCTAATACTATATGCAATAGTTCAACTATATTTGGTGTATGGAAATATTTTATGATCTATATGTCAGTCACGCAGGTTTTATTTGACCTTGACCTCATTTTCAAGGTTTCAGCGTTGGATGAAAACCGCAATTTTTATACGTGTGCATGCAAACAAATTTCTTGGTAGAGGGGTCTAAATATATATATATATCATAGGTTTGAACGTGGTTTTCAATTTAGACTTGTATATATATATATATATATACAAAATGTACAAGCATAATTTAAAACAATTAATATATATTGTGCTGTATTTATACCCCTCTACCAAGAAATTTGATTTGCATGCACACGTATAAAAATTGCGGTTTTTATCCAATGCAATCATAGGTTTGATTGTTGTTTTCAATTAAGACTTGTTTATATTTTTTTTGTTTGGGCTTGTATTATATTTGCCTTCGGGTTAATATGATCCGTTCATCCTGTTTTCGACTCTTCAAAATTCAAGAGTCTATCCTAAATTGAGGTAAATTATATGGCCTTCCAAATACCGTTTCGATTCCTAACATCACTGAAGAGACATTAATTGTCGAAATCCGGATATGGTGTACTAATTTTCTCACCTTTTGATTGCGGTATACCATCTTTTCTGCAAGTTTATTGTTTTCTGTTTGGTATTAAATTAATAGTTAAGATCCATTTTGTTACATCTGGTGATCCGTTTATTTGGCAATCGCCAATGGCAGTCAGCAGGGTTTAAGAACATGCGTTGTTCGACCTGCTAGTCAAATGGGTTTTGTTAAAATAAACTTTTTCACTTTTTTTGGTCTTTTGGAAAATGTTGTTTGTGCTGTATTTAGACCCCTCTACTAAGAAATTTGTTTTGCATGCACACGTATAAAGATTGCGGTTTTTATCCAACGCAATCAAAGGTTTGAACGTTGTTTTCAATTTAGACTTATTTATATTTTTTTCGTTTGGGCTTGAATTATATTTGCCTTCGGGTTAATATTATCTGTTCATCCTGTTTTCGATTTTTAAAATTCAAGAGTCTATCCTGAATTGAGGTAAATTATGCCTTCCAAATACTGTTTTGATTCCTAACATCACTGAAGAGACATTAATTGTCGAAATCCGGATATGGTGTACTAATTTTTGCACCTTTTGATTGCGGTATACCATCTTTTCCGCAAGTTTATTGTTTTTGTGTTTGGTATTAAATTAATAGTTAAGATCCATTTTGTTACATCTGGTGATCTGTTTATTTGGCAATCGCCAATGGCAGTCAGCAGGGTTTAAGAACATCTGTTGTTTGACCTGCTAATCAAATGCGTTTTGTTAAAATTTACCCATTAATTTTTTTAGTCATTTGGAAAATGTTGTTAGTGCTGTATTAGACCCCTCTAACAAAAAATTTGTTTTGCATGCACACATATAAAAATTACGGTTTTTATCCAATGCAATCATAGGTATGAACGTTGTTTTCAATTTAGACTTATTTATATTTTTTCGTTTGGGCTTGTATTATATTTGCCTTCGGGTTTATATGATCCGTTCATCCTATTTCGACTCTTCAAAATTCAAGAGTCTATCCTAAATTGAGGTAAGTTATATGGCATTCCAAATACCGTTTCGAATGACTTTAAATTTATAATATTTTAACAAAAATATCAAACTGCAAGATTCAAAAAGAGGGTAATGCATAAAACCTAGAGAGAGAAAAAAATTCTGGACCATATCAATATATCTTATACTTTCAGAGGTTCTTATAAATGTTGATTGCCTGGGTGTAATTGGTAAATCACAAGGTGTTGTCTTCTTTTTTTTGTCCTTTATGGATATTCTGTGTCTTGTAAAGAAATTTTGTTTCACGTCATTAGAATCCAGCTTATTTTTAAGGTCTCACTAGAAGCATGACTATTTTTTACGGCTCTCAAGTTTTTCAATTGGTCAAAGTTTAAACTCTTGTTGTCTGCAGCAGGACAAACCAATTAAAAAAACAAATATGCAAATTAAAAGAGATGTGGCTATGAGACGCCAAGCAGGACCTACATTACCAAAAGACATATAGAGTGCAACATACAGGTTTTGACAGTAAACACAAGTGTCTTTATACATACAATATGTCAAAACCTATATCGTCCCTAGTCTATAAACTTCGTGAATAGATCGATTAAACAATAATAATCATAGCATTAAAAGGAAGAAAAAAGGCACTTTCTTGAAATATAGTTTTATCATGATTATTGTTATATTACTGAGCAAAGTGTAATATGTTGAAAGAAAAAAATAAATGTTTGATTAATCTATGTGTTTACCCCGGTATTTTTGTGTATTTTCAGGTCTAACTATTCAGGGACAAGGATATTACTTAACAACAGTGTGGTGTTTCATGACTTGGAAATGGGGATTTTCTTTTTTTTTCTTTTCAAGGATGTATCGAAGACAGACTTTAAATTCTTATGAAGAAATCAATGGGGTTTGAGTCTTACGCATATATTGTACTATCAGGAATCGTTTGTTAAAGCTATAGTCGGTTGTAACAGGGACATTATGTATTGACAGTATAAAAGTCCCAGGTTGTAAGAGCTAAAGTTGGTTGTTAGAGCCTCTTAAGCTCATGTTTATTGTTGTTTGTACATATGTGCCAATTCTAAATAAAATTTATTTATTTTCTTATTTACTTACGTATTGTTTTAATAAGGAAAACTAGGCACTAGCACAATTACATGTACCAGCAAAAAATAACTAGAGGCACTGTGAGCAAAGCTCACAAAATGATACCCCTGCTCCTTGCAAATTTCATGCTTTTGGTAAGGGAAACCCAAATTTTTTTTTTTTCATCTGACCTTGACCTCATTTGTATTTGTCAACGTCAATCTTTTGTAATTTAGTCTGTTTTTAAGGGATTAGGGGACCACCATTTAACTTCAAGGGGGGGGGGGGGGGGTTATGGTTTTTTCCTAAACAAATATTCTGATCCCCAATTTGATGAAAAAAAATATTGTGGTCAAGCAGATGACAAAAAAAAATCTGAATCCAGATTTTCCCCATACCTTATAGTGTTAAATTTTCAAAAAAATAATTTGATTGATAGCGTTGAAATTTTTTTTTAAAAATGTTCACGGCGCGGAAATAAATTTCTGACTCGGACAAAAAACATTACCCCACCCCCTTTTGAAGTTAAATGGTTGCTCCCTTATTACCATTGGCAGACACATATATGTGTATATATGTCTCTGCCTCAGTCAAGGATTTTTTTGCCTAAATTTCAAAAATACTACCACTTGTAAAGATTATGTGCAATATCTTTACGATATTTGTATTATTGTCACTAGATATATCATAAGATTTGACATTACTGGATTAGGTTTAACACCACTAATTCGAGCCAAGATAGAACATAAATGTAGAAGGAATCCATGTAGAAGCGTCAAGCAGCGACGAGAAAAATAATTCAGTGACAAGAAAAAATTAATTTAGCGACAAGAAACTAAATTTAGCATCAAGATATTTAAATAATGATTACTTGAAATAAATAGATATAGAAACTTAAAGAGTGTGTGGCTTTATTTTAAACATACTTGGATTTTCATTATTTCATGATACTGAGAGAAGAACATAAATATTTGTTCAATTAATCTAAAAATCGTTTTTTTAATCAGATTTCCGAAGAAAAAATTGATTTGGGGATGTACGGCAGGCGGGCATCCGGGCTGTCAAACAGTGTCTGTGCCTTTACTCATGAACTGTTCAACCAAAGCTTTTCAAATTTCAATATGTTGTTACTGATGACAAAATGGAGGTCAAGTTCGATATTGACTTTTTTTAATATGTTGTTACTGACTTTCACCGTCCAGGAGTTATGTTTCTTGAAAGATTGAAAAATGGTGTTTCCAATCGTCCGTTCGATATTGACGATTTTCACTTCCACCGTTCAGGAGTTGTTGTTCTTGCAAGATTGAAAAATGGTGTTTCCAGTCGTGTCCATGCTTTAACTCATGGACCGTTCAACCAAAGCTTTTCAAATTTTAATATGTTGTTACTGTAGTCCGACTGTTGTTACTGATGACAAAATGGAGGTAATTACGATAAGTTCAATATTGATGATTGATTCAGGCGGGGGCGTGGCGGGCGTGTGCCCCCCTAAAATTTGCAAAGCATGTGTTGTCCTCAGCTAAAAAGCTAAATAAAGAATATTTCGATAATTTTACCTCCAAAAATTTTTTGCCTTGCTCCCCTAGGCAAAAAAATTAAGTTTGCGCCCCCTAACCTAAAATCCTGGATCCGCCCCTGACCATACGCAACATTAAAAACTATAAAGACTGAGCAACACAAACCAAACCAAAAACCAGGGGATGATCTCGGGTGCTCTGAAAGGATAAGCAGATCCTAAACACATGCTAAATAATTTGTACGTTTATGCACTGTATTAAAATATCTATTGACAGTTAAATTTAATTTTCATTAGATTAATGTAATCACTGTGTATCATCGCCACCGGACACTGGGTACCAACGAAGCGGAGAGAAAGGAGAAAAAAAAATAAGCAAGGTAAGAAATCCTTTAATTTCAACCATTTCTACCGTTTTGATGAGGTTACCGCTTGTGAAATGATTTTCTGATAGATAGTGCTTTAATTTCTTATGCCAATAAGTAGCAAACAAAGACAAGATTTTGTGTTATACTTCAAAACAGTGCACTTGGTACCAGAAAATTTAGAGGTCAATCGCCCGCCGACGTCCCGCTGGCCAGATTTTCAACTTTTTGTCATTCTTTTTCCAGACAAATTTTTAGATTATGATAGTGTGACATCACAATTACTGAAATTCGCTATCAAAAAGTTGTTTTCTAAAGAATATCGTTAAAAACCAATCAAGCCTAGGGTACGGCAACTTGCTAATGTTTACAGATTTACAGTACGGCCACTTGTTTTCCTACTCTATGGCAACTTGCTAGTTTTAAAAAAAATATATGCCGTCCTTTTCACGAAGTAGCGCTTTAAGTTCAAATACCTAATTATGCTTTATATCTCTTATATATCCGAGTTAACATATGTCATTCAGATATGAGATGCAATGTAATGTAGTCAATTTTGATACATTGAACAAATAAAAAATCTGTTTATTTTTTCTCCCAGTCATAGAATTATGATTTAAAAAAAATGTTAAATTAATATTAGTGTTGTTTGTCTTTTGGTCGATTTTCGTTTTTTTGCCATGACATTGTCAGTTCGTTTTCGACATATGAGTTTGATTATCCATTTTGTATCTTTTCTCTCTTTTGCTACGCGTGCTTATTTTTTTCGTGGCTTCAACACAGGAACATTAATTTTCGCTTTTATACACAACTGTTTCCTACATTATTTGTGTTAGACTATTCAATGTCATTCTGACTTCTGCAAGTTTATTTATTTGCAGCCCTTTCAAGATAAGGAGATGTGGTATGATTGCCAATGAGACAACTATCCACCAAAGTTAAAACAAAGTGGATGTAAGCAATTATAGGCAACCGTGCGGCCTTCAACAATGAGAAAACCCATACTGTATAGTCGGCTATAAAGGCCCCGACATGAAAAATATGAAACAATTCAATTGAGAAAACTAACGGCCTAATTTATAACAAAACAATTTACGAAAAACATATATATGACAGACGTGAACCAAAACACAACCACTGAACTACCGGCTCCTGACTTGGGTCAGGCACATAAAGAATGTGGCGGGGTTTAACATGTTTGTGAGCGCTCAAGCCTCTCCTAACCTGGGACAGTGGTGTAACAGCACAACATAAGAACACACTATAAACATTATTTGAAAAAGGTTCAACTCATCAGATCGATACAAAGAAAAACATCAAACAAAAATACAGACAGGACGTGGCATGCAGGTTATATATCCATCCCTCATCCCTAACAACAAAAGACATTAAGTACAGATCTGAGAGTACTCGCAGTTACTGACAGCTAGTTCAAAGCTTATAACAACCGATAAACAAATATCAATCAGTACACATCCAACATCCAATGGATTTAGTGTAAAGACGTCAATGCCTGTCATTTATATTCTTAAACAGAGAAGATCTAATGTCGCTCACCTGTGACCTATGTGCATTCTCATGATTTGATTACAATAATATAATTCATGACCTCTTTTTATTGCTGCTAATTATTTTCTATTTTTAGTTTCTCTCTGTCTAATATATATAGTTTTTCGCACAAGATATGGGTAAAAATCGTCATGCAAAGGCAATATCTTCTTTTAGAAGAAAGCTTACAATTTTGCTGTTGTTAAAATGTTTGTAGAAATTGTGTTGCTTGAATATGTTTTGAATATCCATCTTTCAGTTCCATAACTTATTTTAACTATAAACATGTAAATATACATTGAAAATGTCATTCATATTATACAAATTTAGAGTTTAACGATTGTTTAAAAGTTTTGTGATTTTATTTTAAGGTGGTATACTTACACTACAGGGAGATAAATCTGTAAAGTCAGCTGAACGTTTTAATCAAATATTAATATATATATATATTGTTATATTGTTAAGAAAATTTGAAGCTTCTCAATGATCAAAATTAGTGTTTGTCAAACTTCAATATATCCATGATATCCAACCAATTTTTACCGATAATGTGTCTGGTTCAAGTTTTTTGAAATTTTGATATTTTTGTCATAGGGTCAAAGTAAATAATTTGTCAAAATTTTATGAAAATTAAAAGAGCCAAATTAATTTTAGTCAAGGTGTTTGGTACCACCTTAACTTCATAATGTTTTAGGAAATTATGACATGCACAATTTTGTAGCTTGAAAATCAGAGCAGATATGTTTTTTGTCCCAACAATCAATATCAGAAAATGATATCAAGTTTAATATTATTATAGGCACCAATTATCATGATTTGAATCGTCATGAATAAATCTATAAGAAGAAAAAAAATGTCCTTATTTTAAGCCACTGTAAAACATTTGGTCATAATGTTTTGAGTTGTAAATACCTTTTCAATTTTTAAAAGGTCTTGTTTTATTCTTGGAAAAGTTTTTTTTTTCGTTTATGAAGTCAAGTTTATATACATGTACATTTGCATTTCAAATTTTTGATTTGGGAACCATTGTTAAAGAATAAATTTTCAAAATATGTTTGTTACGAAAACATCAAATTTTATATTTTCTTTCTTTTTGAATCAAGTACACAATAAAACTATTTAAAAATTTTGAAATTTTGTAAAAATCAGTTATTATGGTCATATTCCTTATTTATTCATATCTCAAAAGTTTTTGTAATATCCTTAAAATGACACTACCCATATTTTTTTTTTAATTTATGAATTCCCTTGTAGTAATAAACCAATTGTGTTTGTAAATTCAAAATATCAGTAGACAGCTTGCCACTGATTCTGGCCAATCTATTTTGTGATTATTGAACCATGGAAGTATTATATTGACAATTATTATGAATATAATACTTCCATGATGATTGAACAGAACATAACTGGTCTGACATTTCTTACATGGCTTATCACTATCAGTTATCTACTGATTCTGGTCACTTCCTACTGTGAAGATAGATAAACAAGTGTTTGACTAAATGATTTATCAATATAAGATGTTAATTAGGTAATGTTCTGGTTATTTGGTTGATGAAACTATAATCTAGCATTTGTCCTTTAAGTGTATG